GGAATCTACTGGCAGGAGAGATACCATCAGAAATTGGGCAATTGAAACAGTTAGAAACGATGAACCTGTCTCACAACAAACTTTCCGGTTTGATTCCAATTGCTTTGGTAGATTTGGTGAGCTTGACAACTGTAGACATCTCCTACAATGAACTAGAGGGCCCTATCCCTAAAATCAAAGGCTTCAATGAAGCTCCATTTGAAGCTTTTACGAATAATAGTGGTCTCTGTGGAAATGCCAGTGGTCTAAAGCCTTGTACACTTCTTACATTCAGCAGCAAGTTAGCTAAGAGAAAGAGCAACAAAATTGTCATTTTGATTCTTTTTCCTCTCCTGGGCAGTCTACTTCCACTACTTACCATGGTTGGATGTTTATACTTTCGCCACCAAACAAGTAGAGAGAGAATCTCTTTAGGAGAGCGACAAAGTCCACTCAGTTTTGCAGTATGGGGCTATGAGGAAGAGATCCTACATGAAACTATCATCCAGGCCACTAATAATTTCAACTCCAATAACTGCATTGGGAAAGGGGGATACGGAATTGTTTATCGAGCCATGCTGCCAACAGGTCAGGTGGTTGCCGTGAAGAAACTTCACCCATCAAGAGATGGGGCGCTTATGAATTTGAAAACTTTTAGAAATGAGATTCGCATGTTGATAGATATTCGACATCGGAATATTGTGAAGTTATATGGATTTTGTTCATTAATAGAGCACTCTTTTTTAGTTTACGAGTTCATAGAAAGGGGAAGTTTGAAGATGAATTTATCTAGCGAAGAACAGGCAATGGACTTGGATTGGAATAGAAGGCTTAATGTTGTTAAAGGAGTGGCCAATGCATTATCCTATTTGCACAATGATTGCTCGCCTCCAATCATTCATCGAGACATTTCCAGCAGCAATGTTCTTTTAGATTTGGAATACGAGGCTCATGTTTCGGATTTTGGGACAGCTCGGCTCTTGATGCCTGACTCAACCAACTGGACCTCATTTGCTGGCACCTTCGGATACACAGCTCCAGGTACATACTTGATTTCATTCTTAGCATATATATATGAATCAATTGCTGAAGGATGAAAATGGAGGGCTGCTTTTGGATGCTTTGAAGGTTATGTATAATAAATTGTTATGGTAGGAGTACGATACAGCCAGTACTATGAAAAAATGACCATAATTTTTGCAGAGCTAGCTTACACAATGAGAGTGAACGACAAGTGCGATGTCTACAGCTTTGGAGTGGTCACAATGGAAGTAATAATGGGAATGCATCCGGGTGATCTCATCTCATCTCTTTCTGCATCAGCATTTTCCTCCTCGTCGTGCTCACAAATCAACCAGCATGCATTGTTGAAGGATGTGATAGACCAACGTATCCCACTTCCTGAAAATCGAGTTGCAGAAGGTGTGGTCGCCATTATCAAAATAGCATTTGAATGCTTGCTTGCCAATCCCCAATCTAGGCCAACCATGAGACAAGTAGCTTCGGAGCTCTTAGCTCGATGGCCTCCGCTGCCAAAGTCATTCTCCGCAATAACATTGGAAGATCTGATGCCTCAAACAACTGTGACAGGCTGAGAATTTTCCAAAAGATTTTGTATAATTAGTATGTGATTGTTTCGACTTATGCTTCTTTTCACTTTCGTCGCTTTATTTTAAATAAATTATTTCTCTTTTTTGTATTTTGTTTCTTCAACGATTAATATGTTTTAGTACAATATTATTATCAATCAAAGTGAATAAAGGCTCTTTGCTATATTGAGGACACCTGGGTTTCAAGATCCTGTTTCATCCCTTGTAATAAAGGAAATCTTCAATTCAATATCAGCCGAGGAGGATGATATGTTTCTATCAAATAGCGAATAGTTCTATGTAAGGTTTAGCTCAAGGAGGATGTAAGCCAAGGAAATAGTTGCATGTGTTCTTCAGTGAAGCCCCCCCCCCCCACACCACTATGTTCTTAGAGCAAATTGTAAGACAGCAACTCTCGTTATCGTAGACATGCACCTATGCGTTTGTCCACATGGTTTCCCCAAAGGATATAACCTTTCATCTTCCATTCTCTCATCCCCCCCTATATGATGGTGATGGTAGGAGTGATTTTGGCAGCACTGTTTAATCAGAATCTATAGAGAAAAAAAGTCCAGATATAATCTCCTACAACCTAAGATGTTCTAAAACATGAGCACTAGCATGAGAGGCTGCTAGAAGGAGATATACCAAGAATTGCTGCACATCCTATGCATCTGCACTTAAACTATGAATCCACAGTGATCATGCTACAAAAACTTACAATATCAACTGCACAGAGTTCTCCACACTGAACTCTTGAAGAATCCTCCGTGCAGCCTGGATTACTGGACTATAATAGGTAATTGTCAAAGGCATTTCGCTGTGTTATTTTATTTTTGTAAAATTGAAATAAATGACATAAAAAATAAATGAATTTTCATATATTGACTAAATAAAAGTTTGATACTTGAAATAAGATATTCAAGATATCTAATAATAAATACAAGATCCTATCAATAAATATCATTTAATAAAATTAAGTTATGTTGTGTTGGAAAAGGACTTGAAAGCCCCTACATATCTCTATAAATAGAGAGTCTTAACCTAGAAAAAAAAAATTTCTGGAGATATAAATTTCTTTCAAGATAAGTTTTTCATATAAGGAAGCTCTCTAAAAAATTTTGTAATCTCTTTTATGTATGCTTGAAGTCTACAAAGAATAAAGCTCTATTAAAACAAGTCTAAATGCCCTATAATTTTTTTTAATAATATTTTAAAGACAAATTAAATGTAATTTTCAAAACATAAAACCATCAAATTTTATTTTGCAATACACATTTAAATTCATGTTATTGCAAAACATAAATCTTATCTTAATTTTTTAAATAAATCAAGTTATTATATATCAAATCTAAAGTGAAGAATTAGAAAATTATCTTATTCTTTTAAAAACAGACATTATACTCAATTATGTATTTAATAATATCATATATTTGTACCTGCTTATTTAATTTAAGTGATGAAAATTGTGTCTACACAATCATTCGCATGGAAAAACTGTAACAATTTGTCAAACAATTTTAAGGAGATTCTTCTTCAGGTTTTGTCCAAGGGAAAGCTTCCTGACGTTGTTCTCCCGGGTAGCGATGTACCGCATTGGTTTATGCAATATCAAAGAGATAGATCTTCCTCAACATTTCGTACACCACCCATTTCAGCTGGTTTAAGTCTCGGACTAATTGGATGGACTGTCTACGGAGTCATTGAAGAACGCGTCCGGACGAGGTGTTCTCTTTCTATCAGAAAAAGAAAGATGACAATGAATTCTTGTATACACGACCATATCAAATGATTTTGATTGTATAACTTTTTTAAGGAATTAGTTGTATAACTTTCAATATGAATTTTAGGATCTTAGAGTGTTTTATAGTTTATTTTTAGAACAATTTAAAATTATGGACATTTAGAATTTTATCAAAAGTAGAGTTTTTTTTAATTATAATTTTAAAATTGAAGAAATCTTGGTTTTTTTTAGTTGATATATATCGTGTATCAAATGTGTCGCACTTAACCTTGTGACAACTTTAAAAAAATTTCAATAAAAATAAAAAGAATAAATTTATGGTATCTTATTCTTTAACATAAAAATGTTTTGTTTAAGGAGTCGTCATTTAATATTATGATTTTTAGGAACCCTAATTAGTCAACAAAGATTTTATGATACATGATTGGTTATGTAAAAAGAAAGATATTATCACCTCTTAAATATCTTGCCTGAATTACACTGCATTACTAATTTTATTTCAAATTATGAAAATATTGTTGGTTTATACTATAATGCTTTACTAGTAATATTTCTGATTCTAATATAAGTGAATATTCAATTACAAATACTTTCAACTTTGACATTAGTAAATATTATATAGTAAAAAAAATGAATAGTATTCCTTACTATAATGCTAGTGAATAAACTAATAAATAATTTTAAAATCAATGCATGCATATTTTTTTTAAGAAAATATATTATTAACTAAATTTACATTTTATAATAAAAATTCAGAGAAGATATATACAATGAAATATCTATAAAAAAAAATATAAGGAGTACACAAATAAATTCAAAAGGGTCTTTAAATTATTTTGTAAGTTTTTGATATCAGGAAAAGCCTGGTTGGAGAGGGTAAAAATAAAAAGGGTAAGATATAAAAATGTGTTTTACCACGTGCCCCCTGGCCCAAAACAAATCAGGCTGGCTGGTCCTGGGATCCGGCCCGGCCCAATCTCAGCTATTTGCCGTTTTTTATTTTTGTTAGATTGGATTTGATGATCCAGCCGATTCAGTCTGGTTACTGTCCAAGGCAGTGATCTGGTTGGGCAAACAAGATGGAGGCGTGAACTAACTTTGCATGAAGAGTGTGAAGGTAACAGTGTTCAAATAATGTTTGCAAAGAATGCAAACAATGAAAGGAAAATGGGCGTACCTGGGTCTGGAAACGTCGAAGACAGTGGCAACGCTGGTTCTGGTCTCGGTGATTTTCGCCTGCTTCTGTTCTTTCCTTTTGCTTGACTGTGTCTTGCTTTTGTGACCACTGTTTTCTCAGGTTCTCTCTTCCTCTCCTTTTCGTTCGTCTCCTGTTTGCTTCTGGTTTTTTTGGGATGAAGGTACGAAGACGAGGGTGATGCCGATTCTCTTTGGTGGTCTTTGATTCTGGGTCGTTCTTCTTTTTCTGTTTTTCTGTTTTCTTGCTTTCTTCCTATTTTTTCCGTTCTCGGCTCCTCCGTTGTTCCTTTTTTTTTTTGGTCTTTCTTTCTCTCTGTGTGTTTTTTTAGTCTGTCTGTCCCAGTTCCTTTTTTTTTATGTGAGGCCTTGCTCTGGCTTTTATAAAGCCAGAGAAGGTCGTGTGTTCATGCCTCCAGAAATGAGGCACGTTCCGTGAGGGATCGTGGTCCATGATCTCGCCGGATTTCCCGTCAGATAAATCTTCCTGAATGAGGAAGAAGATGAATAGTGGGTTTATAAAACATTCACTGATATAGCCATTTTCAATTTGGCCTCTGAATTTCTGATATTTATCATTTGGATCTTTAATCAATGAAAACTCAATTTTTAATTTTGCCCCTGGATTAAATTCAATTGGGCCCCTGAATTATAGCTTTCTTTACACAATAGTCCTTTTCTTTTGGATTATTCAATTTGGTTCTTAATTGACTCGTCAACTTTTAATTCCTTCAAACTTACCCCTGGAAAAATCAATTAAAATCCCTAAAGTATTCCTAAATTTCACTTTAGTCCTTGGACTTTAATTTCTTGTAATTTTACCTTGAAACAGCCTCAAACTTTGGTATTTTCTCAATTAAGTCCTTGATTTCATTAAGAATCAAAATTCTCGTTTTTAATTTTCCAGTACCATTATTCCTTATATATGCTCTTATTAATGACCAATTAGTCAAATGGAAAGAATTCAATGAGTGAGGAAAACATTACAAAAAACGAAGATAAAGATTTTACTTTTTTGTATTTTTCAGTAATTAAATGAGATAAACTTCTTGAAAAATAATATTAAAAAAAAATTATTGATTGAAATCGACTCGAATAACAAAAAAAATATTGATATTGATGTTAAGGTATTTGCATTAAAATAAAAAATTGCTAAAATTTCAAAATATATTATTATTTTTTTAAATAATTGTAACAAAATACATAATCTAAATATGTGTGCAAAACCAAATTAACAATTAAAGATACATATATTGAATTCCTTGTCTTTTTTTATATCCTTCTTTACATTTGCTATTTATTTGATTTATAATATCCTTCTTCAACGTTGGGATTTTTGGATTTTTTAATTTAATCATTCGGTTTTTTTTTTTTTTTTAACATGCATCCATCATGATATGCTTTAATTTGATTTATATAAGATCACCTCATCTAAACATCTTTACATTTGCTATTTATTTGATTTATATGACTTCCCGTGAACCTACAATTGCAAAAGAAAGCAAGTATAACCAATCAGCCTGCAAATAAAGTATTTCAATTTATCAGGTTTTCACTGTTTATTTTTTTAAAATTATTAATTTAAGTTTTATAAATTTTAAAATTATTAAAAACTTATATAATTATTAATTTTAACATTTATAAAATTAATCAAAATATATATAAACTACTAGAATACCCATAATAATAATAATAATAATAATAATAATAAAAAAAAGAGTTCATCATGAATCACGCTATGACCACATCTATAAATTTATTAAAAGAAAACATGATTCACACACACACATATGTAGTATTTTAGTTATTACCTGCTGGTGGTAGAAAAAGACACGGAAAACAAAAGCCCACATGTCGGATGTGAGAATAGATAGGTTGTGGCTCCACTTAACTAC